CAGAATGCTTGTAGCCTTCCACATCATTGACCTCATCCCCTCTCCAACCATCCATGCCACATGTTTTTCATCCCTCGAGGATCAGTTTGGGCAGACACCTGAGGAGCGTGCTACCATGACTGGTCATCATACACTCGCAAGTTGGTTCCGCCAGCACTACCGGTTGGGCAGCACCCGCGGTGGATCAGGCGCCGCCTATCATGAGGCAATGCAGGATGAGAGGGCTGTGGTCAAAGTGGAGTGGCATCAGATCAAGTGACTTGTGTGGCAACAAGTTGGGTGTGGTCGGAGGTGTGAAAGAGACCCGAAGCAGGCGGCAGGTCGTGCTACCAATCTTGGACGGCACAATATTTGTGTGGCTCCCTCCCTGCTTGCTGGTAAATTCCTTGTTTCTCTCGCCATTCTAGACACCAACATTTCCCTTAATCTCAGCCTTGACCCAATCTCAATCTGAAGGAATCTCCATCTAATCTAATTACTCACCAACCCAAATGAGCACCTGGGGCGTTCGGCGTGTCTCGCTGTTTCTTTTTGATCAGGTTGAATGGTGCACCTCGAATGCTTGGACTGATTCACTCCCTGCTCGCGATCACCGTCCGCGAGGATCAAAGCCAGTCATCCCGGACATATGTTCTGGAGAAAGCTGCATCGCAACGTGAAGACGCAGGTGAAGAGTATCAGAATGGGATTTACATCTCTTGTTGGTCCGAAGTGACTTCAATGATCACTTTGCTTTTTGGCTTGATTTTTTTCTTCTGTTGGGAGGTGTTCGTCAAGAACAGTGAACGGTTTGCCTTTAGTTTCGCACATGCCCACAGAGCATTTTTGGTCAGTGACCCTGAACGTTTGTCTTCGACCGCTATGGTGTCCCAGTGGTGTGCCGGTGGTGATGGTGTTCCGTCATGCCTGTGCTGGTGATGGGTGCTTAAGTATGCTTAAGACAATGTACTGACTCAGAGTTCTTGTGACTTGTGGTTTTCGTTGAGAGAGCTTGATTTGTCTCATTTGCTTGACCATGTTCGAAGTCCAGTGAGCAGTTCGCTCTCGATGCTGATGCCTTCATTGTGTTTTGCTTCGCGCAGTTCTTGTACGTTCACGATGTATATATTCAGGGAGACAGTTGCATCGGTCATCGCTTTGGGGGGGCCGCTGGAAAGGATTCTGTTCGAAAAGGGGGCCAAGGCTGGATCAATTATTTCTGGGCGTGTTTCGGGTTGATCCACCCACTTCCTGATCAGGTTTGATTGGACTGCAGATGATCTTTTTACTAATGGGTTTTGTGATTTTTGTTCATCTCCTCCTGATTCAAGTCAAAATGTTTGGCTCTTCCCTCTGTGCTCTGAAGGATGGCATTTTGTTGAACAATCCTTCCGGAAAGGGTGGCTTACCATGCCACACCACTCGGGAATCCGAAGTCAGCTCAGTCCAAGGCCTTCACTGCAAACATTGAACAACGTCGGGGCGGCTTTGACCATGAAAAGGCTTTGGGAGGTGGCCATGAGCACAGGCAAGTACGACTTGGCAAGAAGCAATTGTCACCATGTGGCGCAGGCTGTGTACAATGCTTGTGTTCCAGATTCCCATGCGCAATTGCAGGTGGGCTACGGCCAAAGCCCATTGCGAGGGACATGCATTTGAGTCGTAAAATGCATTCCCCTCATTCATTAAACTCTACAAATTCAAGCGGCCCCAGCCGAGGTAGCGAGGTGTATTAGCTGGAGTTACGCGGTCAAGACACAGAAAGCATTTCTTTCATAAAACGTTTCCTGCAACCCGAAGGGACAGGGACAATTGCATACTGACTCATAAACACATTTCCTGCAGCCACCAGGCAAGACAGCCAAGGGGGGACTATATATTAAAGGCAAAGTTGCAGCTTGGCAGCCCAAGGCATAGAAAAAAACACACACATTTCCTCAAACCGGACCAGCCGAGTCAGCCACAGCAGATATTGAAAAGCAAATCGCAGCTGTGCAGCCCAAGGCATAGGAAAAACCAGAAAGCATTCTCGGCGCAGCCCAAGGGAGGGAAAGCTTGCAGTGTAAGGCATTGAACAAGATGTTGGAAAAGCATTTCTTCAAACCCGACCAGCCGAGACAGCCACAAGAGATTCATCAACGCAAGCCCATGGCTAACTTTGCCGCCCCAGGCAGAATTGTAGCCCTATCTGGCTACACAGCCAAGGGGCCATTGCAAAGCAAAATCTCCAAATGCGTATGTGACGAGGCGGTGTGCTAAACCCCGGGATGCCAATTCCACAGCCAGGCAGACAAGGTATGCATATTTAACGGTCTGAAGTCTTAAGGCGCCATTGCACCATTTTCCATTTCCATGTTTAGTGAGACAAAGTGTATGTACTGTAGTTTTTTTTGGTAGGTCGGTTTGGCCCTGAGGTTCTCGAGATTCCGAATGCTCGGTGGGTTCGTGTGGCTGCGATCGTGAAGCCCTTGAACTATTTGGGCCTCAACTTGTTGAATTCCCATGCGCTCGGGAGTCAGTCTTGCACGTCACAGTCACAAGGATCTCAGTCGACGCTGGTGTCGGAATGCACGGGAAGTTCTTTGCAGCACTTCCCTCTACACACAGTTGGTGAGGCAGGCCATATGAATCCCGGTCACCTGAAAGCGGCCTGCTTGGCGAAGTGGATCTACAGTCCGAAACGAGAGGAGTTGACAGGTTTGGGAGGGTTACTGAACATCAACTTGCACGTGCTCAGGCAGATGGGTGATGAGAATCCAACACCAGTGCAGTGGGCAGTCCTGGAAGATGAGGATGCCTTCTATGTGACCTTCAAAGGGACCGACAACTTTGTGGATGTGGTGATCGATTTTGATCTGACTCTCACGGACTTCTGCGACATGCGGGTTCACAATGGCATCTCAGGGGGGTTGCAGCACAAGCCTCCAGATGGCAAGAGTGTGCTAGATGAGCTAGAGGAATGCCTGGGGAGCGTTTCTGTGCAGAACGCGAAGGAGGTGATTTTGTGTGGCCATTCGCTTGGGGGAGGCTACGCGATCCTGGCCGCCCTCTTCTTGCTCTACCGTGGCTTTCACGTCACGCAGGTGGTGACCTTCGGTGCCCCGCAAGTCTTGGTGCCTGACATGGACAACCCTGGCTGCCGGTGGTTGGACGAGATCACCACGCTTTATGTGAAGCTTGGTTTGGGAATTCCCTTAAGGAAATTAAAGTAACAGGGAGTTGGCACAGAAAGGGATCCAAGAAGAGGCTCTCAAAGTGGTGGATTCCACGTTGCTGGGCGTTTGTGTTGACGGGGTGTTCCTGCCGGTCGATCTTGCAGAGTGATAGATGCCCTTTAGAGACGGATGTAGAACCATGAATGGGGATGTGCAAGATGATGAGATGTGACACTCAGTCACATACCAAAGGACCGTGTTTCGTGCTGGGTACATGCCAAAATGGCCTTGTTGAATGCCATTCGTTCAATCGAATCTAGGCCAGGCTAATCAAACATCTTTTGCAAGAATCGCAGGTATGCATTTCTACATCTTTCTGTTAGTGTTTGTCCAGGAATGCCTGGGATCCTGTTCCACGGTTGCCAGCTTGCCTGGAGTGGCTGGAGCTGCTGGCGAGGACCGAGCTTCTTGAGTCTCAGCCGGTTGTGGGCTGCATAGCTCACCTACATCCAACAGGCTGCTTCCTTGAAAATCTCATTTCGGGTTCCGCTCCCCAAAAGCTTTTGCCGGGAGATGCACTTGCTGCTGTGTGGCATTTGCATGCAATGGCTGTAAGAGTTCAAGACAGTTCAAACATGCAGCATGCAGGTACGGCTCCCGCGCTTCTTGACACCTTCTTACACTGCATTTTTTGTAGAACATGTGGTTTGTTGATGCCTCTCAACGTGCAGTAAGCTGTATAGTTGCTCTTGCTCTTCACAATCGGAGGATTGGGGTCTCCCTCGCTGGATTCATTCATGTGCGCCCCACCTTCCTCCAAGACACCATCGACAGGTTCAAGCGCTTCAGGCGGAGCATTTGATTTCAGAACTGGCGGCGCATAGTCCGGTATAGTTATTCTTACTTTTTTTGGGCACGCTAGGCGGTAGTCAAGGAAGACTTGGCATGACCTCGCATTTGGCAGTGCCGCCACGTGTGGCACCACGCCTTTTCAGGCACGGCTATGGTCTGGTCGGACGTTTGGCCTTCGTTGCCTGGCATTCTTCGTTTATTCGATGTGGGCTGTGCTCGGGGGAAGTAGAGTGGCTTTTGTGCAGCCCTCCACCACAGGAACACGCGACCTGCGCACGGATGCTTGGATGCAGTTGGCCCAGTGTCATGCGACGCCAACACCACTAACACCGAACTGATTCTTTCCAGAGTCCCACTGTCCCGTTTTGTTGATTTTCGGACGTGTAGGCTTTGGTCGACATCCATGAGTTGTCCCGTTGTCCCTTCAACAAGCTCAATATTTTCCTCGGTGCAAACATGGTTCCTCATTCCCGGCAGCTGGACCAAGGAGGCTCTGCGAATTTCACTTGATGGACGAGTACTTGAAGATCCTCAAAGCCGCGGCTGAATCCTGAGACGTGCCAGTTCTTTGGTGGATTTTGATGGGCCCACGTGCAAGACCTGGTCATGTTGGCCAGGCTGCCAGCTAGCCGCTCTCCCAGCGACTCATGTGCCCATTATATAACCCAAGAAGTGTTGCAAGGGGTATGTGCACGACATTCTTCCAGGGCTGGGGGTGAATCTTTATCTTCCATGGCCGAGAGATGGCCGCCGCCATTTCTGCCACGAATTCACCTGCACATGGGGGACAAAAGTGTTGTGAACGGCAGATGATGAACCGGTACTTGGAAGATCTTTCAGACGTGCCGGGTAGTGTGTAGGCCCAGTTGGTGGAGATTCTTGAGGGATGTTGATACGTACCCACAGATCAGCCGAAACGACCTTTGTGGAAGATGCTTTTTTGGTCTCGTGCTTGACCTGTTGCATGTTTCGATTTGCAGGCTTGCCATGGCTTACTGCATTTTTGCTGCATTTGCTGAGCCTTTCGGGTAGAAGAGCTTGAACATGGGTATAGAATAGAACTGTGAGAATAACATATATCTATATAGATAAAGTATTCGGGACATTGAGGTTGAAGGGCTTCAGAATGACCGCATTATAGTGACCGCATTGTTGTTTGTCCGTGCCTTCTGACCATTCTTGGGCTCCAGCTGGACGGTGGAACCCTGTGGGATTTGGTGGTGTGCACGTGCTTGGCTTCTTTGAAGGCCCCAGGCACCGCAGGGCAATCACGTCAACGTCCAATGGCAT